TACCGTCACCCCATCATATTCCACTACTCTACGCAGAATCCCCACACCACCGCCACATCACATAGATCACCATACGCCCTTCCAAATCTCCTCCAAAACCACCATCTACGCGGTTCAATCTACCTTTTCGACTCTGTCAGGTCCTAGCACTCGATAAACTCACCCACAACATAGCGCTACTGTATTCGTAACATCCCACACGCCATCACTTCCCAAAAACAATTAGACCACTCCATCCTCACCTTTAACCTACCACTGACCAATCTAAAGTCGATACAGAACCCGAACTTCTTCCTCTTCCTCTTCCTCTCCCTAGAATTATCCGCGTCCGGCTCATCGGTTCTCGCCTGCAAAATTACCACCAGTAAATCCACCCTACAGTATCTCCTCCAACAGGGTGTTTGCATGTTCACTATCTATGCGAACCAGATCTTACGCCAAAAAGCTGCTCCATGTGCACCAAAATCGGCCACCCCTCCTCAGAATGCGCGTCCAAATATGTCCAACTTGTGGTGAAAACCACAAATCTAACATGTGAAAACGCCCTTAAATTGTCAATCTCTTTCCCGACCGCCGTTGAGAGGTCATCCACGCCCAAGCTTTCGCGTCCTTCTCAGGAAACGTGGTAGCGTTCTCCACCCTTAACATAATCATTTCCTAATTCCATAATCACGGATTTTGTCGTCGGTGCCGTCAACCCCTGTGGCATACGTCGCAAACGTCCCCACATAAAAAAAAACCTCCTTCACCCCGACAGATCCTCTCAATAACTGAAACCAAACTAGCTCCCAACGCCACCCTCTCTTTCAGAGGCTACAAAACCTTCTTAAGGGGAGCACTTGGGCTGAACATGTTGACCGCCCATCTCAGAGATCCCTGGGTGACCACTCGGGCATCTAATTTGCGGTCGATCGGCCTTACACCGGCCCGGGTAGCTCTTTTTGGTGGGTGCGACGTTACGTAGTCTCCCGAGCCTGGAAAGTGTGTTTCCAGGAGACATGCGAGACCTTTATCCACGGTGGACGTACATCTGCCGCATGGATGTCCCCACTCTGTGTCTTTTGAAAGGATCTCTAAAGTTGTCCTCATATGAAGCTGCGGTATGAGGTCAAACTTTCCATTTACCATGGTCTGTACTCGCAAGAAAATTCTTACAAATCACATTTCCATTGAGAGCAGAAGACACCCCCCCCCCTCCCTCCTGCATTGTACTCGCTTAACGCTAAAACCAGTCGGGAAAGGTATAGAATATTAAGGAACCCTGACAGGAGGTCAAATTTTACATTTACTATGGACTCCTCGTAGTATGGCCACACTCACAAAGGAATCCTTACAAATAATCTTTCCATTAAAAGAAGAAGACCCCCCTCCCCCCAACCCCTTGCATTACACCCTCTCAACACTCAAACCAGTAGGGGAAGATGTAGAGAATTCCGTCTGGCATGAGGCCAAGCTTTTCAATTACTATGAACACCTGGTAGTAGGATTGTGCTCACCCTTCCAACCCCCCTCCCCCCTCCCACATTGCATTACACTCTCTTAACACTCAAACTAGTAGGGGTCCGATATAAGGTCAAAGTTTATACTTACTACAAACCTCGTGCTAAAAGGGTTATCTCGCAAGAAAATTCTTACAAATCAACCCCCCCCCCCCACACACACACACACATTACACCCTTTCAACGCTCAAACCCACTGAGATATTGAAGATTAGCTTGGTAGTATGCCAATTTTACGTTTACTATGGACCCCTGGTACTAGGGCTACAGTTACAAGAAACAATCCTTCCATTGAAAACAGAAGACCCCCACCCCCCCATTGCATTACACTCTCTTAACGCTCAAACCAGTAGGGGCATATAAGGTCCGAGCCAAAGTTTATACTTACTACAAACCTTCTGCTAGTAGAGTTATACTCGCAAGAAAATTATTACAAATCACACTACCATTAAGAGCAGAAGATCCCCCCCCCCTCCCCCACACACTACACCCTTTTAACGCTCACACCCACTGAAATATAGAAGATTAAGAAACCCGCCTGGTAGTATGCCAATTTTACGTTTACTATGAACCCCTGGTACTAGGGCTGCAGTTACAAGAAAATTCTTAGAAACAATCCTTCCATTGAAAACAGAAGACACCCCCCCCTCCTGCATTATTACACCCTCTTAACGCTCAAATCCATAGGGGAAGATATAGAAGATTAAAAAACCAGCCTGACAGGAGGCCAAATTTTACATTTACTGTGGACTCCTGTTAGTATAAAAATAAGACCCCCCTCCCCTTGAATTACACCCTTTTAACGCTCAAACCCACCGAGATATAGAAGATTAAGAATCCCGTCTGGTATGAAGCCAAGCCTTGCATTTACTATAAACACCTGGTAGTAGGATTATACTCACTCTTCCAAAAGACCCCACCCCCACCCCCCCATTGCATTACACTCTCTTAACGCTCAAACCAGTAGGTAATAAGGTCCGCTATAAGGTTGAAGTTTATATTACTCGCAAGAAAATTCTTACAAATAATTACACTCCCATTGAGAGCAAAAGACTCCCCCACCCCCCACGTATTACACCCTATCAACGCTCAAACTCACCGAGACATAAAAGATTATAATTTTGCGTTGACTATGGAGTTCTGGTACTAGCCCCCCCGTTACATTGTACTGTAAAAGATTAAGAAATCCGCTCGGGATGAATTGCAAACTATGCATTTACTATGAACTTCTGGTAGTAGCACTGTACTCTCGTACAAAATTATTACAAATGCTCCCCCTTCCCTCGTTACCCGCGGTAGACGTATATCTGCCGCATGGAAGTCTCAGTGTCCCCACTTTTTGCCCCGGGTCCTTCAAAAGGATCTTACGAAGTTTTTGAACTTCAGGAAGGCCCTCCATGTTACCACAGAAGGTCCTCCATAATTCTTGTTTAGACCTCCGGATTGGTCCCTGCGCTGGGAGATCTTGAGATCTTCCCAGTCCGCAGGCAACTTAGTTCGCATGGCCCTATTAAAGAGCTTGCGAACCTCCTTACGAGCCTTTCCAAGGTCTGAGTTCCACCAAGGTGTTCTCTTCTTTACAGCTATCCTCATAGGACACTGTTATGGCGTCGCTTACTACTGAGGCCGCCTCTTCCACCTGCCCTGCTTTCCGACAGAGCAAAGGTGGTCTATCCAACCGGTCCGACAGTTTTCGGGAGCCCGTACAACACAGCCATCACCTTGGTTACCCTCGGGACGTGCCTCTGAACTTTAAGCGACGCGCCATCCCAGGGCTTAGAAGGACAGTCCTCTCCAACCAGTCCAAGGTCCACTGGTCCTCGCATTCGGCCACCATGGCGCCCTGCGGATTCCAGCGGAACCCTGCCAGACGAGGAAGGCCCCCCCCCCCGCCATCGCCTTCTGTGCGCCAGTCCTATTCTTCTTGCGAATAGGAGCTGACCGACCGCCAGGTCCTTAGGTAAGGCCCTGCGTTGGAGCCGTCCCCTCCTTCGAGAAGCCTGCCCCGTTACCGGACCTCTTTTGAGGGCCCAACTTGTTGGTCCCCTCTGACGATGAACCCAGAAAGGTTTTGTGTGAAGGTTCCATACAATTCCCAGGAGTAGTGCGGAAATGCGGTCTCACCTGGGCAGGGATGCTTGTTCAGGGCTTGGCTGAAAACAGCCGCAGCTCAGTTAAAACACGTTAAATCGCTCCCACTACGGCTAACATACCCTGTTCAAAACAGAAAAACAGCTCTGAATGCTAAACAAAATTTTAATCCAACCAAAGGAATGGTATCACTGAAATTAGATGCAATTTTCCCATCACAAAATAACCAAAATTCTTTGTATGGATGTTATATATCAATAAATACAATACCTATTTTATATTCCGGGTGGTCGATTCCTTCAGGAATATTAAAATAATGCCAAACAATAATTCCTTATGCACATTCCTAAAAATAACCGACCACTACTTTACATAAATCAAAAAATTTAAAATCACTTAGTTATTTCGTTGGAAAACATCGCTTCCTTTAGAAATATGGAAACAGATCGTTTTCATCTATCCGTTTTCGAGAAAAGTATGACAGCGGCTGTTCGCAACTAATTAACGATAAAAAAGCGGCGAAATGCTAGTACGCCACCTATTTTTCGGCGCATTTTTTTAAGAATTAAAAAAAAGTGTGCTATTGTTTGCGTTTTGTCCGTCCGTCCGTCCAGACCCGCTTCTGCCATTTTGAATTACTTCCATGTAAATGGTCCTAGAGTCCTGGAATTTTTACATACGACAACCAATTGGTCTCAGTTGACTGTAGTGGTGTAAAGTAAAACTTTTAAAAATGGGGAGGGGGGGCAGAGGAAATACAAGTTCCACCCTTCATGAAACTATAACTTTCCCGTGTGACTCTTTCGAAATTTGTGCATGGCGGAAGGGGGGGGGGTAATTTTATCTTTCATGGTATTCTAATTAAAGATCTCGGCGAGGAACCGTTTTCTAAAAACTACCGCCCCTCTTTCTCACCACTTATCAAAAGAGGGGTTGGGCGATGGGGGGGGGGGTGAAACTGGAAACTTCATGGTACTCTAATGAAAGGTCTCAACGAAAGGAATTAATTTCTACCAACCAAAGTCCTCCTCGGCCCCTTGGTTGGTCGGTTTAAAGGTTTTTTTTTTCTTATAAGGAACGTTCTACTATTCTCTCTATTGTTTTGAGGATGAAGAACTATAGTCTGATAGGTCTGGTTGGTCTCTGATGGACCTCTTCCCTGTTTCAGGAATAAAAACCACGTCTACCTACCTGCAGGATGTAGCCTAGGGAGTAGCTCCCCCTAAAAAGTTCTACTAGGATGTGATTTGCAAGAATCGAACCAGTAATTTTTAACGATTTTGATTCAGGTTGTGGACAAAAGCGGATTATGCAATAAAAAATTAGCGTCCAGAACGGTCGTCCTTCAGAGCAGTCTTTAAGTAACTGCGGTAACATTTAAAAATTTACGACCAGAACTAAGTATCGGACGAGTACCGTGGGTTCCTAAACGGCGTCGCGCCTCTCTTCCAAGAACCTCTTGACGAAAACCGGCGAAAATCGGGAAAATCTCTCATCGGCGATTAATCAAAGAAGTGCAATAAACAAACTTTGAAGTTACGCATTCCGTTACACATTTAGAAACGCGCCGCAATAAAACGATCGGTCGATTTTCCTTTCGCGCACTGGCAGCGAAAAAGCTACCTTTTCTGCATAGTATAAGTGCCGGGCTCAATTAAGCGCTATAAATAGCCAGTGATAAGATTAACGAGATAGTGGAACGATTCTAATGAGGGATCCAAGGTCGTAATAACAGACCAAGTGCGTCCGGAACAAGTGCAGCAGCAGCAGCGCGGTGTCTTCGGCTAGGGGGATGAAAAGGTGCGTAAACTCCTTTTTTAAATTAGCGCTGATCAAAACTGGAAATCAGATTTTGAGTGCCCGGTTAAATTTAGACGATGATCTTAGCGGGCTCGCACCAATTAATTGCTGCGATTAATTAAACAAATTGTAAAAGTCTTGGAGGAGTGGGCGTGTTTGGTTTCGCCACCGTGTAACTAATACGAACAATTAAAATGTTTGGTAAAAGCGGGGCATGACCATTTCAGACGTAGTTATTAGATGTGTTTGTTATCAATTATCACTTAGAATAATTTCTAAGCGGTTTTTTGTGGAGATATCCGCGGTAGTTGCCAGTGTTTACCTATGAAGATGCGCCAGCGTTAGACCTTCAAGAGATTTTTAGGTAAGTTCTAAAAATTCGCTTTCTTTCATCGATGATAGATGCGTAAATGGTTTGTAATTGCATCAACTTTTTTTAGATTTTATTCACATGTCAATCATTTTTTATGGCACTTTTAATTGCCAAATGTTGCCAAATACGTAACCATGCCTTACCAGACATTTATAGAATATCCACTTATTCTAGTGAGTTAATCATTTATTTATTATTTAAAAATGTAGGTAATAACGTGAACTCCATCCCCTATAATGCAGGGGTGGAACAGAGGTGACACACATCCCCCATTTTCTTTTGCTCTCTTTAAGTTGCACTTTTTCGCCTTCCTCCCTGTTTTCTACATCTTTCTCGTCCACCCTCTTATTCGCTGTATTAGCCTCCTTCGATTTCTTCTTCGTCTGCAGCCTCTTCTTCTAAGTTTTCCTCGTCTTTTCCTCCATCACAAATTTTAATAAAATATTCATTTATGTTTGCCCCATAGATCTCTATCTATATCTACTCATCAGCATCGTTATCTTATTTGCTTTCCTCATCTTGTTCGCCTCTTTGTCTTCCTTGTCTTCCATTTCGTCCTTATCTTCTTCTTTGTCTCTACGTTTTCTTCGTCTAGAAGAATTAAAAAAATTGTTATTGATTTCTGTACCATTTTACTCTCCTCTATTTACAAACTCATTTTAACCATAGGCTCTCTCCTCCTCCTACTCTTCTACTCCTTGAGAGTTCGGCACTAATCCTTCTTCGTCTCCTTTGCGTTCTTCACTCTTCATCGTCTTCTTCATTTTCATCGTCTTCTACTTCATCCTTTTCAATTGCTATTCGAAAATACATGCTACGTCTCCTTGATCTTCAGTTTCTTGCTCGCCTTCTTTTTTGTCTTTTTCGACTTCTTAGCTTTCTTCCTTGATCTGTTCTCCATTTACTTTTATCTACAATTTCAGAAAAAGAAGAGAACGTTAACGTTTTTTTTACCTTTCCTAAGAATAAGCCTACTAGAATTTCGATTAAAACTGTTGGTGCTTCAGCATATTGTGCCTGTTGAATTATGCCGAACTTGCGTTCCGCTCGCTTTCTTCATCTGTCTCACGGTTGTCATCTTCGTCGCCTTTTTTTTATCTTCTTTGTCCACGTCTTCTGTTCCAGGCATTACTTACCCTTCTTTTTTGATTTAGTCTTCTTTCTCTTCGTTTTTTCATCTCTTTTTCTTTCTCTCTTTCTTTCTACTAGTTATTCAAGAATGAGGTCCACCATAGAAATCTAATCTAATTGTCATTAACAGAGAGATTAATTGAAAATAGCCACTCAATGCCATTGAGGGTTTAGATTTTATTGTTATTTTCGCTGTCCTCCTCTGTTCCCTCATTTGATTCGTCTTATTCTCCTTCTCTTTTTTGCCCGTCTCTCTCGTCTTCCACCTAGCGTGTTTTACAGGACTTCCTTGGTTTCTTCGCCTCTTTGATTCGTCTTCTGTTTCGTACTATTTTTCGTTTTTTGGTTAGCCTCGAATTTGAAATATTCATATTTTTGTCCCGTCTTCATCGTCTTTTTTTGGTTTATAGTTTTCCTCGCATCCTTTATCTTCTGTGTGTTCTTCTCCTTTTTAGTCTTATTCGTATTCCACGTCTACCTCGTCCATATTTTCTTCGTCACCTTCATTTTTGCTTTCTTCACCGTCGTCATCTTCGTCATCTTCTTTACCTCTCTCTTCCTTTCCCTTTTCCACATTTTCTTTTCATGTATTACGTCTTTTTCATCTTCTATGTCTTCCTCGCCTTTTTATACGCCTGTTTTTCTTTATCTAGAATTTTTATAAAATTTGTATTTATTTTTGTCTCTGTTCTCATCTTCATTTTATCTTCTTCGTCTTTTTTTGTTTTCTACCTCTTCTTTTCATCTTCACATTTACGTTATCCTCCACGTTTTCGACATTTTCCTCGCCCATCCGTTTTCCGTCGCATTTGCCGCTTTCGCGTATTTGTCTTCTTCTTCTTTTACATTTCCCCCACCTTCGGCATCTTCTTCTTTTTGATCTACCTGTATATCTTGAGTTTGAGAAGAACTACCGTTTTTTCTGTCCCATGGTACTCTCATTTTGTGGTTTCGTCGTCTTCTAAGTATTCTTCGCCTTTTTCATCTATTTCTTTGTTTTATTCTTTGTCTTTTTGGCCCTCTTTTCTTAATCTTTTTCTTCGTTTTCTTTGTCTTCCTCGTCTGCGGCGTTTTCCTCGGCTGTCAAATTTTCCGCTTCTCCCATGTCACGCTCTATCGTGCTATCTTAATTCTTGTTGACCTTCTACGTCTTCTTAGCTTTCACCATCTTCTTGGTCGTCTTCCTCATCTGCCACGCCTTCTTCGTCGTCCAAGAATTTCCTCGTTCTTCATTTTTTGTTCGTTTCCCTTCATCTGAAATTTGAATAAAATTTTTATGTTTTCGTCTTTATATTCGTCGTATTGTTCGTCTTACTCAACTGTCACGTTTTCCTTGTCTTCCTGTTTTCATCATCTTTTTTGTTCTCTTTTTTGCCGAATTTGAATAACATTTTCACACTCTTCGAATTAATCCGATTCTTCGCATTCTTCCAATCACCTTTTTATAGATTCTTCAATTTTTTTTATCATTTTTTAGTTTCTTTGAATTCTCTAATTTCATTAGAAGTGTCACTTTTAAGTTTCTTCTAATCGTCAGATTCTGAAAATTTTTACAATTTCTTCCGACCCTTCGAATTCTTGGACTTCGGATTTTCCAAAACACAACATTGGTGCAAAGTTACAGCTTGCTAATAGAAATCTTAAAATTAGCTCCTGTTTCAGCTTGCGTGTATTGCTCATTCGGATCGAAGGACCAATGTATATCATCAAGATATCAAGAGAAAATCTATCTATCATCTCCTTCATTTTCTTCACCTTTTCTTCTTCTTCGTCTATCACGTCTTCTTCCTCTTCTTTTCTTTTTATTCACTATCCTCTTAGTTTTCCTTTATCTAGAATTTTAATAAAATTTTAATTAATTTTTGTCACGTCTATGTTATCTTCTTTGCTTTTTTCATCTTCATTCATTTTTGTTATCCTCTACGTTTTTCAGATTTTTCTCGCCCATCCTTTTTTCATTAGCATTCTTCGCTTTCTTCGCCAACGTCGTGTTTGACTTCCACGGCCTTTTCCACATTTACCGTCTTCTTCTTTTTGGTCTGCCATTTTATCTTGAGTTGAGAAGAACTACCATTTATTTCTGTTCCTTTGTTACTCTCATCTTGTGGTTTCCTCGTCTTCTAAGTCTTCTTCCCATTTTTCGTCTACTTCTTTGTCTTATTCTTTGTCGTGTTTGCTCTCTTCATTTTCCTTCATCTGGAATATGAATAAAATGTTTATTAATGCTTCTCTTATGTTACTTTTTCTCGTCTCCATGTTTTCGTCGTTTTTTCTACGCCTCTTACTTCATCTTCCTTTTTTCGCCTTCTCCATTCTCTTCGTTTTCTTTGTCTTCCTCTTATTAATTCTTCTCCCATATTACTTTCTATCTTCTCATCTACATTCTTTTTTACCTTCTACGTCTTCTTCCCTTTCTACATCTTTTTGGTCGTTTTCCGCATCTATCATGCCTTCTTCGTCTTCTTAGTTCTTCTTAGTGTCGGAGAGGGACGTTGCAGGGCGGAGACAATACAGACAGAGGTAGAAACGCGCAGAGCAGACAGAGAAAGAGCGAAGGACGTCGAAAGACAGAAACAGATGGAGATGGACGGGGAGACAGACCAAGGCAGATGCAGGAGAGAGACGAATGGAGCAAATAGGAAGTACTAATGCAGACCGATACATATAGAAATATAGAGATAGAAGACATGAATAAGAATGGAAAAGGCGTACACGGATATCGATGTAAATCCAAAGGAAATGAGATGGACGGGGAGACGGGCGCAGATGGCCAGAGACGGGGATACGCAGAAATAGAAGGGTACATAGAAAGAGAGAGACAGAGACAGACGGACATGTCTGAGAGGCATACATTACCTACATAAAGAGATAGAAGAGGAGAAAGGCAGAGGCAGGCAAAGGAAGATGGGCAGAGACGAATGGACACGAATGAGGAAACAGAATGACACTGTCTCAATGAGACTAGCGACAGACGAGTACGAACGGAAACAGAGGACAAGGGCAGCAGGAGTAGAAGGACACAGACGCACACCACCGGAGGCGAGCGAAATAGACAGACCGAAGGAGAGAGACAGAAACAGGCAGAGGCAGACGAAGAACAACGGAAGCAGACGGAGACAGAAAGCGAATACGACGCGGTCTGAAATGGACAGAGAGAGACGAATGCGGACGGAGACAGGCAGAGAGACAGTGGTAGTGGTAGCTAGAGGTAAACGAAAAGCGAATGTGATGGACAGAGAGGCGAACAAAGACAGAATGAAGCAAACTGAAAGAGAGAGAAGGCGACAAATAAAGGTTAACAGAGATAGAAAAGGATAGACTGAAGAGAGAGGTAGACGGGCACGTCTTAGAGGCATGGAGAGACAGAAAATGGTAAACCGAGGCAAAAAGAGACACGTGGACAGTAGATGGAAGAGATGAACGGTGATAAACAGAGAGAGAGAGAGTCAGAAACAAACAAATAGCATGAGACTGACTGAAAGAGAGACGGAGGCAGATTGGATTTCGAAAATTGAATTTAAACGTGATGGTAATTTTTGGGGGGGAGCTTAGCTATTTCTGTACAATTGCTACATGAAATTTCAATTACCTACATGCGCTTTTTTGTCGGTATTTTTCACACAAATTTTCTTGTGAATTTTATTTTTATCAATTTAGATAATGAAATAGTTCTCGCGCTACCTACTCGACTTCCGGTGCTGTGTTCAAAATTGCGCCACGTTTAGTACACAAAAGAAGAGCGGATGACCTTTGATCGCGGTAAGTGCGAATACATAAACTTTTATAAAAAGAATAATTGTCTCGGTAACACAATACTACGACGACGTTAAAAATAGTCCCCATTGTCGGTACGGTGTACA